AATACGTCAAAAGATCACAAATTGTATCTAGTTGAAGACATTACCCTTAAAAATTTAAAAATTTTCCCTCGTTCCCCGAAAATGGGGGAAATATCCAAAAAAATTACAAATTTAAAAATCGGTAAATTTTGTCATTTTTTTCACTTTTTTTTCTTAAAACTTCCATAACTTTTTCAAAAATTAACAAATCAACAGAATTTTTTTTTATTCTAAAACCTTAGGTTTTTCCTTTCATTTGATATCATTTTTTTGAAAATCTAACACTTAACCTACTCATTGGAGGGGATTCAAAATAGCAACTTTTTTACAAAAACTAACTTTTTCAACTTAATTTTTGAAAATGTTCCGGAAATACTGCGTCCTTTAAACATATATCAAATTAAAGCTTATTTTATGTACTATAAAATGAAAAAAAAAAATTTGTCCCGACGACCTCTCTTCTATGCGTAAATGGCTACCGTATTCAAAAATATGCTATTTTTCTATTAAAATTTTAGGTTTTGTATTTTATTTTATTTTAAAATATCTTATTAGGAGAATACATGGTGAAAATAGCTACCGTACTTAAAAATATGCTATTANAATTAGGATATAATCAAAGAAATAAGAGTTGATGTTGCTTTTGGAATAATCCACCAATTTCTTTAAATAAAACACTATTTACAGATTTGCATCGAAGCGTTTCTTATGATAGTGATTTTAATCATTGTCAAATATCATCTATACTTGTCCCATCTATGCCTTGTCTACACTGTGCCTCGACACCACTGTGCTACCGTTTTTCAAAAAATAATGTAAAAGATTTTATTTTTAAAACACTAATGATTACTTAAATATATATTTGACTATTAAAGAAAATGTGTTATTTATTTTAGTACCTTATCCTTATTATATTTAATTTATTTATTACATAAATCAAAAGCAGATAGATTAAATTCTATGTAAAAAATAAATGCATATGAGAGTGATACTGTACGGTGGTACCTTTGATGTTGGAAATATGCTTACCTAAGCGTCTGGTAGCTGAAGATAAAATTCTTAGAAAACATTGTTAGTTTATTAAATATAACATTTTTTCCCATAAAATTACAGACGCTTATGAGCGATATAATATAATGATACACAGACAGCGTCACAATTATTTCCCATAAATTTACAGACGCTTGTAACGTCACAAATTCGAAGGTGAACCGTTTATGATTTTTTGTTATGTCTACTTATTTATTTTATCGCGCGATAGAACCTTTTTCTGACACAGCGGTGTCAACCACTCATTATTTTGCCTCTGACCGCTAGATAAGGCGATAAAAGAGAAATATAATTAAAATCGAATTGTTTATCAGTATTGATCCCTTCCAAAAAGACTGGCCATTATCGATTTGAAATCGCCGTTAGATCGTTGTTGACTCTTCTCGATTCTTTCTTCTGTCATTGACCGTGCTAGGGTGTACACGTTTATTTTTTGATTGACACTTTTTGTACAATGATGGAGTAGAGCCGCCAACGGCGAACGGCCAGGTCTTTTCGACGAAGCATCCAGACCATCGGATGGGTCTCTTCGGAGACCGGGTATCGTTTTCTTTTTTATATTATATTTATGTAATGAGCTATATTTTATTAATTATTTTATTTCATTTTATTTTATTGTAAATTAACTTAATTTTGTTTATGTGTGGAGAGCACGTGTTTCCCTTTTCTTCTAGCCAACGCTAAGGAGCGAGTGTCCAGACCGCTCCTGGTGTTCTTCATTAATTTCCTGTTAACATTAACGGATGTGTTCCAATACCGTCCGTGATGTTTGTAATATTATTTGTTTAAATATTTTATTTTATTTGTATTGCCTTTATTTGTAGACATGGTTTTTGATGCATTCGCATTTTTGTCCATGTTTAACTTAATTTTCTCTTTTTTTAACAATTAAATTAAATTTCCTTATTAATTTCAACTGTAATATTTATTTTATTGCGCGAGTAACTTAATTACTCGCGTGTATTTCATTCCTATTCCTTAATCTAGACACGGGCTACGGTATGTTTTACATATCAACCACATACAACTTTGATTGTCATAATTGTGTTCTATAAACCACGAGGCATTATAGTAATTTATACATATAACGACATATTAACTTAGATTATACTTTTAATTAACTTAAAATTAAATTCCACCTATGGTCCGGTAATCATATCTGATAGATGTGACACCTCGCCTAGGTGGTGACGACCCTTGCTACTATAGCTAGTCGTTATGCAAGTGGCAAACCACGTTGTTGTTACAGGCCGAATTATTAATATATAAAAAGCCCACTTGCACGCTTATGAGCATTATACTATTATTATACCTTTAATGTCAGACATATGCTTACCTAAGCGTCTGGTAGTAGATGATAAAATTCTTAGAAATTATAGCTATATATTTAATAATACACAGACAGCGTCAAAATTATTTCCCATAAAATTACAGACGCTTATGAGCGATATAATATTATGATACCTTTGATTTTGGAAATATGCTTACCTAAGCGTCTGGTAGTCGAAGATAAAATTCTTAGAAAACGTTGGGTTTCATCCTCTCCCTCGCCCCTCACCATTCGGTTAGTTTACGTAAGGTTTCATCGTCTCCCTCCCCCCACCGTTAGGTTAGTTTACGTAAGGTTTNGTTCTCTCCCACCATTGCATTAGGTTAGTTTACGTTGGGTTTAATCCCCCATGCGTAAGCATCAGCCGGGAACTCGTTGAGGAGTGGTCGGACATAAGGGCTCGTTTTACCAACGAGATTCCTATGTCCACCTCTGAGTTTGAACGTTGGACAGAAATCCAGCCGCGCTTGAAGTGCGAAAGGTTGGAGTTTCTGCCGCACGGAGGCTTCCGGTCCCCCGGGGACTTCTGTAAATCGGTAGACTCCATCTTGCGCATGATGCGTGATGACCTCGCTGCGGGTGGCGTGTTTAGCCCGGAACGGATTAAACCGTATGATCCCTTCGAGGGAGTGGTGGAGGAGTCGGAGAGGGCGAACTTGATGTCTCGCTGCGTCTCTGCGCTGAGGGGAGACAGCGATAACGCGACAGACCGTGTCGTTAAGGCTGCTAGATTTGCCCTCAGCGAGATCCTGTCTCGACACAAGAGTGACCTCACTCTTGTGGCCGCAGGCATGGGTCTTAGAGACGCTGTCGAGGCGTATGAGTACAATAACTGGCTAGCCCAGAATGGTAGTCCGCCCGCATTGGATAATGCGGTAACAATAAACGAGGATGAAACTATGCGGGGAAAGCGCAAAGAGGCGTCCCCGACATCAGAGGGAATCGTGACGGTCACGTTGGACGATACCCCTCCAGAGGTACCAATCCCGCTCGTGAACACACCCGGAAGGGTTCCAGACGCGAAGCGGTGGAAGTGCGGGGAGCTCGCGGCTGCCGACCTCTTCAACGAGGACGGTACGCCGCGGTCCAAGCTGGACCGGGCGAGCTCGAGGTCGGTCCTCATAGCCGGTCTTGAATTTGCGTGCCTACAGGCGAGACGGCTGGAGAACATGGTTCTTGTCGTGCCGCCGCACGACCATATCAAATCAACAATAAGGGATCTGATAAGGAGTGTTCGCTCCCTAAACGATTTGGAACAGACCCGCATTCCGGAGGAAGAGGTGCTGACCGTCGATTCGTCGACTCAGAAGGACCCTCCGGAGGTTACGGTCATTGTCGACGTGAACCCGAACACTGAGGCCGACGTGCTGACAAGTCCCAACGGATTACGGAACCTGTCATCCAGCCATCCATCGCGAGATCTGGTAAACGGGTCCGTAAGAGACGGAAAAGGCAGCGAAGAGGGGAGAATTCCCTTAATCCTGTGAAGATAGTGGCCCCGCGCGTACTAGAACCGCTACAGCAAGCTGCGGTAGCGGTAGCGCCAGTCACCTGGTCGGAGGTCACTAGGCGCAATACTGCGAAGCCAGTGGTGGACCCTCGCCGTAATCCTGGGCTCCCCGCCTCGGCTCGGAGACCGCTGATAAAAGCGAAGGCCCCACTGACTGGGGCTGTCATCATTGGCCCCCTCATAGAGGACCAAAAATACGCGGGTGTGTTAAAAACCGTCATGAGTGCGGTTGACCTTCATGCACTGGGTATCGAGGTCTCCGGTACCCGCAGGACCAAGTCGGGAGCAGTGCTCCTGGAGGTCCAGGGTACAGGGGCCCAGGCCGACCTGCTAGCTGCAAAGGTCAGAGAGGCCTTGGACAGCATGAACGTCCGCGTGCATCGCTCAGCGATGTCCGTGGCGTTCATGCTATTAGACGTGGAGGAGTGGATAGTGGAAGAGGACGTCGTAGGGGCGTTGACCACTATCCTCTCCAAAGATGGAGTGACGACACCCGTCGGTTCGGTGTCAGTCCGACTACACAGGAGCGGCAAGGGCCGCTTCGCGTGGTGCGATGTTCCCATCCGGGCCTCGCAACCACTGGTCGGACTGACACGACTCAGAGTGG